ATTTGTCTAAAATTAATTTTTAATATTTTTTATATTATTTACAGTCATATAACAAGTTATTAGTAAATGTTAACAATAAAAAAAATGTACTTCACTTGGGAAAAAAAATAATTTATGCATTATTATTTGTACATTTGCCCAAAAGCAGTCAAAATGACTTCCTTAGGCAATCTAGTGTTAAAAGAAAGCTTTCATTCCTATAATTGTCTTAAAAATTACAAATAGATGATGAAAAATGTTTATTGTATTCAAAGACTCATATAATTGTGAGCAGGAAAAACTTCATACAAAATAGAAATGAAAAACGGTTTTAATTTGCATCAATCTGCATCTTTGTTAATTACTTTATAAAGTTACAAAACGATCCTCTAATTGCTGAACTGCACCTTGCGGTTTCATTCGTTTAATAATGGCGTAGCCGCGGCTGTGAAAAACGCAAGCAAACCGCCATAGCTGAACGAAGAGGCAGGCCGCCTGTTCCCTTATTATTCCATCCGGCGTGGTTCGTCAAGCTAACCAAATTCCGCGTGTACGTATCTTTTTTCCCCGTTTCGTTGCCGGTTCTTCTGTTTGTCATGCAAACAGGAATCGCGGACCCGCGAGAAATGTTAACCACAGCGAGGAAGAAGTTGACGAACGAGATTCCCTCGCCTGGAATAATATCCTGGAGGCAACACCAACCTTTGTTTCAAAAACAAAGGAAAATACCGATGCACAAAAGTAAATTGACATTAGCTTTTATTTATGCCATTTTATAAGGAATTTTTTAAAAATTGTTTTAATCATGTGCCAATTATAAATATAATTATGGTTATTTTAAAGTGGTCGGGATTCTTAATTGGCCGTCTACTTAGCAAATGGGTTTACGATTAGGCAGTATTTATAACACTGCAGGAATGTTTCAAGATTTCCAGGGTTTCCTTATTGGAGGGTTTCCTTTCTGGGAATGTAAACCTTAGACTCGCGCTCGGACTGTAAAATTCATTTCAATATCGTATTTAACAATAATTATAAATCGTCAGTTAACAGTAATTACATTATTTTATAATTTCATTAAAATCATTAATTATTTTAGTATTTCTATTGAATTGAAACTCGATTAGAATTATTTTAGAGACAAACATTATGAATGGTGAGATGAATTTTACAAAATACGATTCAAAGGGGATCGTGTTTCCTCTAGGAACCTCGCTGGCTTTTAAAGCCGACGCCTCGCTTAAAGTGCCCTACAACGGCTCGTTTGAATCGACAATCGCGTCCCGCGTGCGAGAACCCGCGGTGTGGAGGGGGAGATGAAAGTGAAAATTCAATTAACGGCGAGGAATTGTGCAAAGGATAAAGCGAGTCGAATGAATCCGTGAAAATAAGGGAAGTTCAGACGGTTTTAATAGTCGGAATCTCGCGGTGCCCGGCTACGGGGATTATCCGTTTTTATGTAACCTTTAGTCAAGTTGCTTTATGTTTCCGCGAGGAAGGAACTTGGAGGAACTGTAGTGCAAAAGATTTACGGTTCACCGGGATGTCGACGCGTTGAAAAAGAGTTTTCTAATTACGCAACTGTAGAAGTTGCGCTGCGAGTTTCAGTTTAATGAAATTCCTCCCACGCCCGGCAACCGATAATATCCGGATTAAATGTTTATTTCCGTTAATTACTTTTGCCAACAAAAGCAGTCGCACTCGCGTGAAACGCGTTATCATGGAAAACCGACGGACGCAGTCGGATAGGAATCAAAAGCGCAAAACGTTGTACGTTTTTACGAGGTGTCAAAAATTTCGCGATGCATCAGAGATAACGGGATCAAAATATTGGACGGCTCCCCACGTTTCGCTTTCGTTAAAAATATTGAACCTGCGGCTCGCGCGAGATGCGAGTAAAATGCAAAAATTCTAGTTCCGTTCCATCCCGTTTGAAATTGAAATATCGCCGCGGGTTTGCGCCGCTGAAACTAAATACAAAGAGCCGACCTTTGCCGCGGATAAAGAAGGTCCAATGTTAATCTTGCTAGCCACGGTTCCTCGATCCGGAAAACGGAATTGAGTTCGCGAATCGTTGGACGAATCGTAAGTTTCAATTAGAGTCCCGGGATGGGTCGACGCGGGAGCTTCGTTAACTCAGACGGTTTTTGCATCATGAACGGAGTCGGAGACGATACCGATACGAAAAGGGGCGAAGAAACGGTCGACTGGCTTGACTATTATTAGTTTTACCCAATTAGCGAAATGGGCGCAGCGGTCGGTCGTCACGTGATTAACCGCGTACGGCTTCCTTTCGCTTTCCAGCGAGATTATCCTCGGCACAAAGACAGTCGAACGAAGAAAGAAATCGCATCTCAAGGTTTGTACGTGTGCCTGTTTTCAAGCCTGGACAATTTCCGATTAAAAGCTTCGGTTCAAAGCTATCCCGGTTGGCGATTCAATTTTCTTAAAAAAATATCGTACCAAGGGAGACGAGATAGGACGAGATTCGTCTAGAAAAATAAACACCTTGGCTACTTTGAGCTAGGTGCGCTCACTTTTTTGTCGGCCAGCTTGTTACATCGGCGTACGGCGGTTGCATACTGACACTCTAGCTCCGTTTGATACTACAGGCTAGTGCAGAGTATCAGTCTCGGCCCTCGGTGTAATCAAGGGTTGTACGATACTTCGAAAGTATCGGGTGAACTAACTGCATTCTAACACATTGCACACTTTGCCTCGTCGCACGATAAATTCCGATGCTTATAATTTATTGTTTATTATATTAACTAGCATCACGGCTTCATGTTATGAATTTACAGAATTAAT